AGTCTACCGCTGGAGCCACTGTTGATGTGAACAGCTGTCTTGCGGTTGCTGGTGTTAGGCCGCGAAGTCGTCGAAGCTCCATCGCTGCCTCCAGGCCTTTAGATGCCGCCCTCGCGATATGTTCCTTGTACTTGAGTCTTGTGTCCATGAGAACGCCCAGGATCTTAACATGATCTCTAGGCATAACGGGCTGTCCCTTGATAGTGAAAGGCTCCTGGTCCGTTTTGTGGACTTTGGGAGCGAAGTGTACGATGGCAGTTTTGTCCGCCTCAAAAGTTGCTCCGCTCCTTTTCTCCCAGTCGAGTGCGTCGTTGATAATTGTTTCAATACCTTCCCGATTACTCTGTGCCGTTGGTCCGGTCACCCACGCGGTAAAATCGTCCACAAACGCGATTACTCCGCCCTGGCTGTCGATCTGTCGTTGCACGAGGTCTGCGTTGAAGAAGAGGAACAGGATCGGGGACAGCGGCGAGCCCTGCGGCAGTCCAGCCTGTGGCAGGCTTTGGACCTCAGACAATTGGCCATTGATTTGGATGGTTGCTGTTCGTTCCGAGCAGAACGCCTCAACCCACCGGAGCAGATCCTCCGGTATGCCTCGCGCTTTCATCCTCTGAAGCAACCGTTCTTTGCACACTCCATTGTAGGCTCCCTTGACATCGAAGCTGATCAAGCTCAATACCCGTCGGCCGCGCCACGCCGTGTAGATTTGCTCTTGCAGAAACACGAGTGCTTGCTCCGCGGACCGCTGCTTTCGGGCTCCGAAGTGGCTGGTCGGGAGCAAGCCGTACGTTTCCACCGCGTGTGAGATCCTTTCCGCAACCACTGATTCCAGTATCTTGCCCAGCGTCGCGAGGAGAGAAATTGGTCTCCATGCTTTGGCAATACTGTAATTTTCTTTATTTGGCTTTTTGAGCGGTATGATCTTCGCGTGTCTCCACTGCCTTGGCAACGTGCCTCCTTCCAGTGAGGCTTGGAAGAGATCAAGAACCCTGTCCTTGACCGTGGGCCACGTCATCTTCCAGACTATCACCGGCAGGCCGTCTTCGCCCGGTGCTTTCCAAGACTTCGCCGCCAACAGTTGCCGCTCTACCTCCTCCATCGTGATAGCTGGCATTTCTACCGGTGCTCTCTCTGGCCTCGTCCCTTCATCGTCAATAATGTCCGGCAGAGGCGGGAAGAAGGTGGTCAGCAATTCTTCTGCTTGCTCCTTGCGATCGGTGGTGGTCGATCCGTCTGCTCTCAGGAGCTGCGGGACCTTTCCAAACGCTGCGTCATCTCCCGACTTCAGGTATTTTGCGGCTTTCCATATGTTATCGTTGTCTGCGAGGAATTCATTCCAGTGCTTTTTCTTTTGTTGCCGGATAGCATCGTGGTATTGCTTCGCTGCGCCTTGGGCCATCTCTTCTAGATGGGGTACCTTTCGTCCCGCCCGTCGCTCCGAGCGGGCGTGATTTCTCCAGTATGTGTATATTTGACGGAGCTGTGTCAAGTCATCTGTCCACCACCGCTTTGCGTGTGGTGACGGTCTAGCCTTCGGGGTCAAGGCATGCACCGCTTCCCAGACCGCGGACATGAGTCGATCGGTTTTCTGCTGCACGGTGCCCTCCAACGGAGTGGCGGCTAGGGTGTTCGCAATCCTAACATTGATCTCTTTCCATGGAGCGTTTTTCAGCAGGAGTCGTTCCGGATGCTTTGGGGGCGACCATGAGGCATCGAATACGGTCTCAATGGCGCAGTGATCCGAACCATGCTCTGTCCCAGGTATGGCACATTTAACCATGGACTCTGTTAGGTCTGCCGAGGCCAGGACGAGGTCGATCGTGGACTCGCAGTCCCCATTCTGTCCTGCGCCATGCCATGTCTTTGTTCCTCGTTTGAGTAGACTGCTGAGTGCAAATTCATTCATGAAGTCGACGATTGGGTCCGCTTCACCTTGCCTTACCAAGGACACGTCGTCTCCTCCCCAGAGTTGATCATGACGGTTAAAATCTCCCACAATTATGATCTCCAACGCTGTGCCTGCGTCCCGTCGTACCTCTGTGATCGCTTTGCGTAGATGATCGCATGTTTCGAGCAATGCCGCGACATCTCCTCCCTCTACGTAGACTGATGCCATAAATATCAGGCGCTCGGGGAGGCGGATGACCGCCGCGGTCAGATCCGGCGAGTCGATAGACACTTGCTCCGCTTCCACATCCCTATTAATCCAAAGCATACTTCGGATCGCCCATCGGCCTTCCCTCCAGGTGGAGGGAACCAGTTTCGTCCATTTGTGATGTCCCATCGGGGTGGTCAATAGCCGGCCTTGGATTCGCCTCGCTTGGGGTTCTTGAATCGCTAGTGCTACTGCCCCCTGGGTCTCTTCGTCGTTCATCAAGCTGTCATGTACCGCGCCCTGTTTCCTCACATTCAGTTGGATTATTCGGAGGGTTTTATTCATGACGTGGCGGATAGAGTTTCCGGCAATTTTTGCTGTACGATTCATGTGGGCCTCCGCATGGAACGCACTTTAGAACCGTTTGGTCGCAGTTACTATGGCGATGGCCCTCCGTGGCGCATTTTGCGCACTTCTGGACGTTCTTACACTGGAACGCCTTGTGGCCAATCTCCTGGCAGTTGTAGCATTGCGTCGGTCGTGGTCGATATTCGAAGGTGCTGGTCACGCCAGACTCTCCTCCAGCGTGAAAGAACCCGTCGGCCAGGAGCCTCCGTGCGTCAGTGCCTTTGGTAAGGTAAACGACCATTGATCCATAGGCCTTCGCACTCTCCTTGCTACTGAGCCATGCGATCTTAGCCACGGTAGCTTCGTTCTCCTCGCTGAAGGCTGCCGCAGCTCCGGCTCGGATCTCATCATCTTCATCTAGCACTGCGGCTTTGTTGACGCTATCGACTTTGATCGGGTAGAGCTCGTCCCGAAGAACCCGGGCTCCCGCACCGATCTTTGCTTCCGCCACTTTCTTGACTAACTGGTGTTCGGCTTCATCGCGACACGCTATTCTGATCCGGTTCGTGTTCTTCGGGTCTACAGTGACGGCGCGACACCGCCAGTGTATGTGGTCTTCCATCTTCCGGATCTCTGTCTCGATCGTTGCCCGGATTGGGCCTGCGGACATCCTCTCGTTTCCATTTTCTGTCATCCTCGAGGTGTCAATTGTGCAATACAATGTGTCGGTGAACGTGGTCGGTGTTGTGTTTAACGTTGAGAGCGTCCGTATGTTACTAGGGTGACTAAGTGGAGGAGTACGGGCGACATCTGCATAGGACGGGGAACCAGTAGGAATGGAAGGGCTGATAGCATCGCGCAGGGATTGAATCTCGCGGAGGATCTCATCGTGGTTGTTCTGAGCGCATGTCTCGGCGTGGGATTGCGGTGTCAGGGGCCTATCCGTCAGGGTCTGTAGCTCGTGTCGAACTTCGGCAAGGGCGGCGCTGAATTCATCTTTAACCTTTTGAAGCTCTTCCTTGTGTAATTCATCGCGTCGCCTGATCTCTCGCCTGAGTTTAATGAGTTCTTTCACGAGTGTGGCGGTGTTGAGGTCCTCACTCTCTGTCGCGGAGTCATCCGAAGTGACCGCGTCACGTTGAGTTGCTGGCTTGTCTTGCGTTTTCTTCCTCAGTTGAGAGCGTGTCGCTCTCTGGCCATTGTCGATCTCTTGATCCCGAGCATAGTTACTCGGTGGTCTGGTAGTGCGTCTCGGCCTCGATAATCTTGGCGGTGACTCTTCGTGTTCGTCGCGGTCGGGCGGTTCAGGGGTTCGCGTTGCGGTCCGTCCCGCCATTATGCACAATCGATTCCGTCGCCACGTGGCACCGGTTTCGTATCTCCAAGTCGATCAACAAGTCGGTCGGTTCGCTAGACTTTCTGTCTCAGATGGATCGGCCACCTAGACAGGTACCGATGATGATACAGTCGGTCGTTCTGGTACGGTACAGTCTGTATTGGATACCAAGAACGATACAGTTGAGAAGAAAAGTAGTCTCTAGGGAGGAAGCCGTTTTCGCTACCAAGAACGATACAGTTGGTAGCGAAAACGGCTTCCTCCCTAGAGACTACTTTTCTTCTCCCGGGCCCCACCGCCAAGCCATTAGCGCCAAATTTTATTCGATGGACCTTTCTTCAAGGTATCGGATGGTATTGACACCAAAATTACCGTACTGAATTAACCTACTGTATATTTCCCGAAATTAACGTTTATTTACAATGACCTCACGTAATGGAGGATTCGTGGTCTCATGTCATGTTGGGCTATCAAAGGCCTGTCAGTACTGTTATGCAAAATCTAGCCTCTTCTGTCTTGAATCAATACATACAGCGTCCTGTGTTATTTTCCTCCTCCCCACTGCCCTCTTGCTCGACTTGATGTTTTAAACAGGGTGAAGCGTGATGTCAAGGACTCTTCTAGAAGAAGGTACGGTACAGTACTCTTACTTATCCTAATTATGAGTAGTTGTCGAACCTACGTTGAATACCGTGGAATCCGGAGGAGGAGCATTGTGCAAACAAAACAAATATGACGTCATGTTCCTGTGTGCCCGCAACTTGCTGAATCAACCTTCAAAGACCCCACAAGTCTAGCTCCAGTCACGTGCGATTTATTCCCTATGGTCCAGGTTCCCCTGGAGAACATTAAGCAGAATACATTTCGACTTTGACCCTGAGCATTGGGGTGGAGCGACCCGCAAGAATCATTCTGCGAGTTTGCACGATGGTAGTTAAGCGCCTGGTCATCCATACCACACGCCCGTTGCTCCTTCATCAATGCCAACACCACTGCTCCCTCCAAAGAGTGAGATATTGATGAAATGCTGAGTCTTACAGAAGGAAAGAACGAGATTTGGGCTAGTAAGTACAGTAATGGAGTATCGCTGACGGGGTTGTAAATCCAGGCATTTCAGTGGCGACCACCCTGGGTGTTGACGTCCAACGCGCAGTCTAGCAGCATCTGCACGACCTGATCGTGCCATCCTCCTTCACAGGCAGCCTGGAGGGCATCTCCGTACTATCCGCCCTTGGCATCGACATCGGCTCCGTGGTCTAGCAGCATCTGCACGATCCAGTCGTGTCCTCTTTCACAAGCAGCCTGGAGGGCATTTCCGTAGTATCCGCCCTCGGCGTTAACATCGGCTCCGTGGTCTAGCAGCATCTGCACGACCTGGTCGTGCCCTCCTCCTTCACAGGCAGCCTGGAGGGCATTTCCGTAGTATCCGCCCTTGGCGTTAACATCGGCTCCGTGGTCTAGCAGTAACTGCACGATCCAGTCGTGTCCTCTTTCACAAGCAGCTTGGAGGGCGTTTCCGTAGTATCCGCCCCTGGCATTGACATCGGCTCCGCCGTCTAGCAGTATCTGCACGACCCGGTCGTGCCCTCCTTCACAGGCAGCCTGGAGGGCATATCCGTATCGACCGCCCTGAGTGTTGATATCGGCTCCGTTGTTTAGCAGTCTCTGCACAACCTTTTCGTGTCCTTCATTGCAGGCAGCCTGAGAAGCGGTTCCGTAGTATCCTCCCTTAGCATTGATATCGGCCCCGCGGTCTAGCAGCATCTGGACAATCAGATCGTGTCCTCCCTGACAGGCAGCCTGAAGGGCGTTCTCGTAGTGACCACCCTTGGCATTGACTCTGGCCCCGCGGTCTAGCAGCATCTGGACGATCCGGTCGTGCCCTCCTTCACAGGCAGCTTGGAGGGCATATCCGTAGTATCCGCCCTTGGCATTGACATCGGCTCCGCCGTCTAGCAGTATCTGCACAACCCGGTCGTGCCCTCCTTCACAGGCAGCCTGGAGGGCATATCCGTAGTATCCGCCCTTGGCATTGACATCGGCTCCGCCGTCTAGCAGTATCTGCACAACCCGGTCGTGCCCTCCTTCACAGGCAGCCTGGAGGGCATATCCGTATCGACCGCCCTGAGTGTTGATATCGGCTCCGTTGTTTAGCAGTCTCTGCACAACCTTTTCGTGTCCTTCATTGCAGGCAGCCTGAAAAGCGGTTCCGTAGTATCCTCCCTTAGCATTGATATCGGCCTCGCGGTCTAGCAGCATCTGGACAATCAGATCGTGTCCTCCCTTACAGGCAGCCTGAAGGGCGTTTTCATAGTGACCACCCTTAGCATTGACACTGGCCCCGCGGTCTATCAGTATTTGCACGATCCGTTCGTGTCCTCCCTTACAGGCATGGTAAAGGGGGCTTCCGTAGATTTCATCCTGGACGTTGATATCGGCCCCGCGGTCTAGAAGCATCTGGACAATCATAGCATGCCCTCCACAGCAGGCAACCTGGAGAGCGTTTTCATGGCCGTCCTTAGCGTTGACATCGGCCCCACGGTCTAGCAGCATCTGGACGATCCGGTCGTGTCCTCCTTCACAGGCGGCCTGGAGGGCGTTTCCGTAGTATCCGCTCTTGGCATTGACATCGGCTCCGCTATCTAGCAGTATCTGCACGATCCTTTCGTGTCTTCCCTTACAGGCAGCCTGGAGGGCGTTTTCATAGTGACCACCCTTGGAGTTGACATCGGCTCCGTGATCTAGCAGTCTCCGCACAACCTTTTCGTGTCCTTCATTGCAGGCAGCCTGAAAAGCGGTTCCGTAGTATCCTCCCTTAGCATTGATATCGGCCCCGCGATCTAGCAGCATCTGGACAATCAGATCGTGTCCTCCCTTACAGGCAGCCTGAAGGGCGTTTTCATAGTGACCACCCTTAGCATTGATACTGGCTCCGCGGTCTATCAGCATTTGCACGATTCGTTCATGTCCTCCTTCACAGGCGGCCTGGAGGGAATTTCCGAAGTATCCGCCCTTGGCATTGACATCGGCTCCGTGGTCTAGCAGCACCTGGACAATCATAGCGTGCCCTCCACAGCAGGCAGCCTGGAGAGCCTTTCCATGGCCATCCTTAGCGTTGGCATCGGCTCCGTAGTCTAGCAGTATCTGTACGATCTTGTTGTTTCCTTCATAGCAGGCAGCATGGAGGGCGTTTTCGTGATATCTGCCCTCAGCATCAACATCGGCCCCGCGGTCTAGTAGCATCTGGACAATCAGATCGTGTCCTCCACAGCAGGCAGCCTGGAGGGCGTTTTCATGGCGATCCTTAGCGTTGACATCGGCTCCGTAGTCTAGCAGTATCTGCACAATCCCGCCATGCCCTCTAGCACAGGCAATATACAGGGCGTTTTCAGAGTGACCACCCCGTGCGTTGACATTAGCTCCGTAGTCTAGCAGCATCTGTACGATCTTATCGAGTCCTAGATCACAGGCAAGATAGAGGGCGTTTTCATAGTAACCACCCTGGGCGTTGACATCGGCTCCGTTATTGAGCAGTCTCTGCACAATTTTGTCGTCTCCTCTACGACAGGCCGCCCGGATGGCGTTTCCGTAGTATCCACCCTGGGCATTGACATCGGCCCCGCAGTCTAGTAGCATTTGAACGATCTTGTCGTGTCCATTATAGCAGGCATGGTAAAGGGGGTTTCCGTAGAATTCGTCCTGGACGTTGATATCGGCCCCGCGGGCTAGGAGCATCTGCACGATGTTGTTGTATCCTCGATTACAGGCAGTATGGAGGACGTTTCCGTATTTTCCACTCTGGGCGTTGACATCGGCTCCGTGATCCAGCAGCATTTGCACAATCTCATCATGTCCTCTATCACAGGCGGCCTGGAGGGCATTTCCGTGGTATCCACCATGTGCATTGACATCGGCTCCGTGATCCAGCAGCATTTGCACAATCTCATCATGTCCTCTATCACAGGCGGCCTGGAGGGCATTTCCGTGGTATCCACCATGTGCATTGACATCGGCTCCGTGGTCCATCAGCATCTGTACGACTCGGTCGTGTCCTCTTTCACAGGCATCCGCGAGGGCGCGTCCGTCCTCGGCGTTGACATCGGCTCCGCAATTCAGCAGCATCTCCACGATCTTGCCGTGTCCTCGACCACAGGCAGAACGGAGAGCGTTTACGTACAATCCACTCTGGGCATTGACGTCGGCTCCGTAATCCAGCAGCATCTGCACGATCTCGTCGTGCCCTTGATCACAGGCAGAACAGAGAGCGTTCCCAAAAAATCCACCCCGGGCGTTGACATCGGCTCCGTAATCCAGCAGCATCTGAACAACCTCAGTATGTCCATAGCATGATGCCCATATGATCGGGTATGTGCTTGTATCGTCTGCCGTATTGATATCATCTTTAGAGATATTGAGCAGATGATAGACCTCACGAACATGGCCATTAAATGCGGCCAGATGCAGTGCCTTCATCGATGGTGTCGTCACGTCGTCTGGCATTACCTCCTTCCAGAAGACAGGGAACCATAGCAAAAACTGTTTCCCACTTAGGCAATATATCCGATTTAATCGATCATTAACTTCTCGGCTTGAAGTTGAACTCATCTTCCGTACATGATCGGGCCAATGAGCTGCTGAGTACTCTAGGAAGCTTAGAGCATTAGAGCTCAATTTACCACTATCCAAGTCCTCCATTAGAAGGTATTGCAAGCAAATGGACGCCATTTGATCCTCGGTATCAATGAGGCGCCACGAATATAGGTGATCGACACTATTCATACTGGCCTTAGCAACAAGAAACTCTCTTGCGGTCTGATGAATAAGGTAGATTTTGGTGTTGTTTATGAAAACAAATAGCCCACATAAGCGACGGAGCTTCTTGTCTATTTTTGATGACTCCAGCATAGCTTCTGCTGTAGTCTGTGATTCTGGGTAGAGAGCTATACCCAGCGCCATGGCCATTTCAGTTGTTGTCAGGGGGCGTCGCGCTGCTACAATAATCTGTAGGACTTTCTTCACAGTATGGACTTGGTCAGAAGGCACTCGTCTGAGGATTTTTTCGTACGCGTGATTCACTGAGGGCGGTATCAGTGGGATGGATTCCTCAGCAGGACGAAAGCTATTCTCGAATGTTAACCGAATATCATCAATGGCTAAATGTAACCACAGGTATGTCCGGTGTTCCATTTGCAACAGCTTTTGCTCAAGTCGCTGCTCTATATTTCGTGATAACTCCGCTGTTTCGGCTAGCTCTCTGACTCTCAACTTCACGACAAGGTCAATCTCGTTGTGGATTTGATCATTTTCTTCCTCTCCTTTCAGATGTAGATGTGGAAAGGAGTCTGTAATCACTCGGAACCAATTCTGGATATGATCATATGGGCGACTGGTGACCAGAAATTTCAGCCAGGTATCCTGTTGCAGCGGATGGCGAGAGTGGTGAAAAGACTGAAGTTTATCGATCAGTCGACCCTGGTCGACGTCACGACATTCATCAAGCGCATCAAATATACAAATTGTTTTGCATGACGTGTCGGATAATGCGGCCGTTGTGAAGATTCGCCAAAGTTCATCAACCTCCCGTCGGAGTTCCTCCCCGTTCTCTTCCCAGGGCCGTATGGCATGGTGTAATAGATGAGGCCGCTGGCTGAAGAGCTGATGGAGTACTGAGCACAATGCCGCCGCAAGATGATTCTGTTCATCGTTGTCTTTAAAAAAAAAGTAACAGATCGCCCTCTCCGGATCGGAAGCTTCCGAGAAGTCATCGATTATCGATCGTGACAGCACAGACTTCCCGCAGCCTGGGTCGGCAGATACCCATAGAAGGTTATTACAGCTGCTCTCCGACCAGCGGATATATTCAGCGCTCTGGAGAGCCCATAGGCAGGTTCCCTCCACTTTTCTCGGATTGATGTTTTTTTGCTCCTCGTAGGTTGATGTCTTAAAGATTTGGAGACAACGGTGTTGCCGATCTGTCAAGGCTCTGTACTTCTGTTCACCGTGATACCGAGTCTGTTCATTGTGTAGTCGGTCTAAGCGTTGATTCGTGCCTTCTAGCTTTTCTGAAGAAGTGCCGTATATCAAGGTTATTTCATGTTACAGTTATAGGGCTATATAGGACTAACCAAATATAATGTCACTGATCTTCTCCTCGGCCTCGATTCGGTTGAGAGGAATCCTCTGTAGAAGGTCTTTCGCATATGCAGCTGCCACCATCGCTGCATAGCCTTGCCACTCTTTGTTCTTATGCGAGTCAGAATAGTCGCAAATGCCCCGAATAACGAGACATGGGAAGGTATTCATCAGCCCGGCTGCTTCCATTTCGAAACAAAGAACATCTTTCTCCGCCGCAAGTCTATCTCGTACCAAAGCATCCTTCATCAATCGATTCCCAGAAGCAACCAGGCCATAATGAATGGCAGGATTGTCTTCATCCTTGGCCCGTTCACTTCGTAATACCAACTTCGACGGATCATCCGCACATGAAGAACCACAGTCTCCTAGGCCGTGTAACACTTTAGCTTTGAATAACCTATCTGTTTCGGGTGATGGTCGTTGGTACTCGCGGCGGAGTCTAGGGTTCTTGTCGAGAACGCTATCGACGGCTCTCTGCAGTTGATGCCCCTTTCTCTTGTACTGTGTCTGTATCCCCGTCATTGCAGTGCGAAGCGTAGTTGGTGGCTGGTTCAAGAATCGCGTATACTGAAAACTTTGGTCTTGGATCGACTTGCCAAAGTCGTACTGGAAAACACCACCCCCGCCATCACAGGGCGCACTGACCACAACATCGCCCAAACGGATGTCATGATTTTCGCTTGGCACACCTCCTCCGATGCCGACCATTAGGCCGATCCTGATGTTATGAAAGCTGTTTAGCATGTTCGTCGCTACATTGGCGGCGGAGGCGGTTCCATATTCACCATCGGGCAAGACCGCGATCACAACGTGATGGTCGCCCATCTTGCCCAGCGTATAGTCGTTCTCATCCTTTGGCGACACGAACCTCGGCTTTTCATGTTCTTCATCAAGAAGTTCCTGTGCGGCAATATATTCCACAGGCAAAGCGCAGATCCAGCCCACGGTGTATCCCGTAGGGTCTGACATGATTTTCAATCGAGACAAGAGCCTGAAGCTGCACGAGAGCCTATTCACTGTCGCTGCTTTAGATGCGAAAGTCTCGAGGTCTACTGTGTAATACAGACCTGAGTCAAAAAGACAACAAGTGCGGTGATGAGCAAGGGATCAAGGAGAATTTTTGGAAAAGCCATGAAGATAAGTGGCCTGTTAGGAAGGCTCAGCCGCATGACCAGCACGACACGTCGCAGGGGGCGGCAACAGAGCAGACGCTATTGGCGGAAACGTCTTTTCCATGCGCCCGAAGGAAAAGACAACCGGGGTGAACAAGACAAGGCGTAAGGGCAATTTCTCGGGCATGAGCAGATTGCGGGGGTAGAGGGGACAGAGCAAATGCCATTCTTAACCACAGGGACTGTGCCACGCGCCGACTCGAAGCGCAGCGGAGGCGGGAGTTGAGATGGTATTGTGGGACTAGGAAGGGCCACGATACTTGAACTGAGCGCGTGCTGATGAGAGGATGGCGTTGCGCGGCACTAGAACAATTGCTATTGGAGAAAGCCACCGCTCGCTAGCCAGGGCGCGCTGCACGTGACCGGCCCATGTCGTGGCACTACCAACCTCCATCAATACTGGTGGGTTGATCACTGTCAGTGGTAGAGATATGGCACCCACACTTGAAGCATGGCGACTCGAACTCATCCGTGACATGATCCAAGACACTCAACCGTATACTAACGTGCAGATTGCCGAAGCCGCCCATTGTACCCCACGATCAGTCAGCACTATCCGTTCGAACCTACGATGCTTTGGAAGTGTCAGGGCCCCGGCCAACGGTATCGGCAGACGACGAACGATCACTCCACCCATGCTTGAAGCTCTCTGCGAACGTCTTCTCGAAAAGCCAGATCTATACCAGGATGAGATGGCGATCTTCTTGTGGGATGAGTTCCGCATCCTTGTGACAACATATAGCATTAGCAGAGCGCTCGCATCGGTTGGATGGTCGAAGAAAGCCGCAAGGCAGATTGCGAGGGAACGAAATGCCGAGTTGCGAGACTACTACCTCCATACTATATCATCGTTTCAATCCTACCACTTGGTGTATGTGGATGAGTCAGGCTGTGATAAACGAGCGGGATTTCGACGAACAGGATGGTCTCCATTAGGGGTGACGCCTGTCCAAATTTCTCGATTCCACCGCGGGCAGCGATACCAGATACTGCCCGCGTATGCCCAGGATGGTGTTGTTTTTTCGCGGGTTTTCCAGGGATCGACGGATGCGGTCGTGTTTGAGGATTTTATACGACAACTCCTTCATCACTGTGGTAGGTGGCCGGAACCGAAGTCTGTTCTTGTCATGGATAATGCATCTTTCCATTGTACGGAGGGTGTTCGGCAGATTTGTTTAGCGGCGGGGGTCAAATTGGTGTACTTGCCGCCTTACTCGCCCGATCTCAATCCGATCGAGGAGTTATTCGCTGAGCTAAAAGCCTTCATCAAACGAAGATGGCTAGTATATGAAGAGAACCCGGAGCAAGGATTTAATAACTTTCTGGAATGGTGTGTTGATGTTGTAGGGGCAAGAGAGAAAAGCGCGGAGGGACATTTTCGACATGCAGGTTGGAATATTGAAGAACCTTAACATCATTGAATGTATATCTCGCACTGTACCTCCCACGATTTGATAAATGCCAGCATCTCTCTCACACAAATAACGCAGTTGCTCCTTCTTCTACGTTGCATTTGCATCGTTTGACCCAATACTCAATATCCCCAACAAAACGCCGAGCAATGCCCCTCTTAACGCCGTTTTTTATAAAAAATTCCGGATCCTGATTCTCGTGAACCTGCATAAGGTCTAGACCATCTTCAAGCGCAGCATCACGGGCTTTGCGAAACTCTGCCTTCAGCTTTTCATCATCAACTTGTGATTGCTGCCAGTCACTATATTCAGCAACGGCAAGGTCCCGTAGACCAGGTATCTCAAGGCAATCACTGATGTGCTTTCCGGGACACATGGTCGACATGAGGGTGGGCGTATTAGACACAGAAAGCGGAGGTGACTGCGCAGGAAGGACGTTGGTGATGCTTATAGGAGGATATGCCGCTGGAGATTGAGCCGCTCCCTTGTGTCTCTCGAGTCGCTGCTGCTCCTGTGTATATAGTTTCTCACGAATTGACTCAGGGACGTCATCATGTGAGGTCAAAACACCACCCTGCTCCACATAACTCACAAGAGCCCTCAAGTTTTGCACAGTCAGCTTAATATGCTTTTTACCAATAGGGTCACGCCAACAGTGCGGCCCTAGATCACATGCGCTATTAGAGCACCGCATCACACTGTAAACATGATCCCAGACAGGAGGACGCCCAGTGACCTGTTCTTCAGCATTAATCTCTGCTTGCCGATCAACCAGCATGCGCTGGGTGGCAGATGAATTGCCGCGTTTATCAGTTGATCTAGAGCCGGAACTCTGGGTGTGGCTGCCCTCCGTGTAGTTGAATGACATGTTCAATGTTAGCTTCTTCCCCGTACGGAAAAGATCGCCCCACCCGAGGAGTTGTTTCTCCACGGCAGGCCAATCCACATCAGATTTATCACAAGAAAGAGTGAGGTCTGGTTGATTACGGTGATTCACCGACACAACGATAGCTGTGTCGTCGAGTTCGACCTTCTTCTGAGGAAATTTCTTGCCTACGAGTTCCTTCAATTTTGGCTCTAGAAATAGACGCCAATGAAACCGCGGAGCCAATACAAGGTCTTGCTCTGTATTCTTCCGGATAGTCTTATTGTTGAAGGTGACCTTCCACACTATCGAATAATGGAGACAGGAGGGCGGATGCTCATCATACAACCTTCCTTCCTCCCAGTCACTCAGCTGAAGGAGTGGAATCTGGCTCAGTTGTGGAGATCGATCTTGTGTGAAGAAGTCGTCGTCTAGTCGGATTTCAGGGCTCGTGGAAGTCATCGCAGAGGGGGTTTGGCAGAATCCATATCCTGGAGTTGGGGCAAAGAGCGGCGACTGACCAGTTTGGTCATACGAGTCGTACAGTAGTGGGTCATTCTGGGAGTCGAATGGGCTAGTGCCCATATTTCTAGGCTGTAAAGAGAGTCATTATCATCATCATTGCTCCTAAAGGATGCTTGAGGCGGTCTCTGGATCGGATTCCGTTATTCCTTACTCGAACAGAGCGACCTGAGAGAACAGGGTCCAGGAGAACAGCAAGGTTTACGAAATGAAAGGAACCGCAATGCTGCTTCGAGCTTGAAGTAGTGAAGATACCTTGGGGAGTGCGATAGGCTGAGCTGTGGGTGTCGGGATGCGGCAAAAGGAGGTTGATCTGACAAACCCCTTAGGTGATCCACCAGTGTTTGCCTTGTTTACACGTAGATCTTCAAAATTCCATGGTATTCCATTCAGATGATCGGCGACTATTCCATATTCGGTTAAACGTCAGCATCCAATTTTGAAGCCTCACAATTCTGCGGGTTGTCCATTATTAGGACGACCAGGGCAGTCTAAATTTATGGATATTTGAGCTGAAAACTAAAATCTATATTGATATTATTATTTAGATCTCAAATCTTGACAATTAAGCGTTGGAGCGATTTGAGTTGAATTTTCAACGGACGTGTCTTTCAACGTTTAATCCAAAAGCGGAGGGCCGCAACTTGGGATGGACGTGAAGCCAATTTTCCTAAGCAAGCCACCAATCATGTGGATTATCTGAGACATAGGCGCACCCAAGTTGAAGGAATGTCATAAGTGTTTGGTAAGATTGAAACCGTAATTTGGCTGTCATAAAACAGGTCAATACGTTCTGGAATTATTCGTACTTACGTCCGCCAAATAAATTTTAGCGCTAATGCCTTGGCAGTGGGTCGTGGGGAACGAGAAGCAGTCTTCAGGGAGGAAGCAGATTTCGCTAGTGACTGTATCAGTGGCCCAAACGTACGACTTTTTCGGGGACACCATGAACGTTGCGAGGAAAATCCAAGAGCTGGCGCCAATGTTTAAACGACATCAAAATCTCATAAGGAGCATCGATAAGGAATCAAAAAGAACCATTGCAAGGCTGAAGCATATTACCGACAAGTTTTGCTTTCTCATAAACGGTGAATCTGTCAGTACGGTCGAAAGATGGATCGCACTGTTTGAATGGTCAAGAGAGAGAAAAACCGTTCCCTATATTTTCCAAGATATGGAGGTACTGGAGAGGTCTATGAGAACAATCGGAACCCTGGTGCACGTTCAATTGCTGTCTCAAACCCACCAAAGGGATGGATCGGATGCAGTTTTAGCACAATTGTAAATCTCAAATATTTTCCCAATTAATAGATAACGTGGAGTGTTATACTGACTATTTGCTGGCAGTGAATCTTTCAAAAAAATGCTAGGTATTGAGTTCAAGAAGCTTCAGCAAGCTCAACAGGTCCAAAAGAAGCTTCTGATGCAGGAAAAAATCCCACTGAGTCAACATTTCGAGGCTAAGGAGTTTGCCCAAAAAATAATGCAGATCTTAGAAAAGGAGATTCCACGACTGGAAAAACGCCAGCCCGCTAGGAGCCTGTCCACGCCTGATTCGCGGTCGCCACCCACCTCACCGATAGCAAGCGAGCCTTCACCAACCACAACCCCTTCACCCTCTCCTCCTAGCAACTCTGGGAGCCAAATTTCTGTCATTAAGGTGCAGGAGGAGGATGCCTTATCGCCGAGGAGGCGGATTTCGCGGAAAAGAAGAACTCAGTCAGCCCCTTCAGTGAGTAGAACGGCCCCTATGAACTTCTCAGGCGCATAATAATAATGGGGTGTGTAGCAAATTCCTTCGAGATCGCCATCCTCTTCTCTATGTTCAGGTGACGATGGATCCGACAACCTCCATAGTCGAGGCTCCGAGCCAGAAAAGCAGGGTCAAAACGCTGGTGAGGACCGTGGAGGCGCATATATGCAGATGCCACCCTTTGGACCACCAAAACTGGTGTCTCGCCCACCCATTAGACGACGATCTCCTGATCGTCCAGATTCGCCCAGCGACACATTTGACCAGCGACCAACAATGCATGGTAGTGGCTCTGGTCCGGCTCGAAGAGGGCGCAACAGCAGCAAGATATCAGAATATGGCAATGGAGGCGAGGTAACTGCTACGCATAGAACAGGCGGTGTTGGTCTGCCATCAGGAAGGTGGAAAGAAAAGTCTAAGCAAGATCAGTAAATAAATGTTGAGCCATGAGGTAGAACTAAGTTCCTGCATTAAGAGTCCGCCTCATGGTCGACCAACTTGGTTACAGGTCCAAAAGCAAAGATGTTCTAAATAAATCACTAGTTGATGCGTATGACGGCTAACCAAGTCTTATCATTCATACACCTATTATTTTGATCCCCAGTGTCTCGGTACTGAAATGATACGGACGCCACCAGCCATTATTGCGCCCTCAGCGAACGTGTCTAGATGTGCTGAAGTCCAACATCGGATAGACAGATAGACATATACAGGGTAAAGGTAGGAACCAGATCCGAATATAGGCACATAGCACAGAAAATTGCCTGGTAGTTATAAGACATTGGACGGGTCAAAGGTAACGAATGAACAATCATAAGTGCATGATATATATTCACTTTGACTGCTTCAAAGATCCACAAATCCCAAGTCCCTCACATAGTCTCCGTCGCTGTTCTAATGACGTGAGTCACTGCCTCTTGAATCGTTTGAAAGCCTTGGATCTCCAATATGAATCGCGAAATCTGGTTAGGGGTCCCAGAACGCAGCGTAGCTACCATTTGTTGAAGAGCAATTTGGGATTCCTCAAGTTTCGTAATATGGAATTTCCGTCTTCGATCGCTTTCCGGGTTGAAAATACACTGGCATGCTTCTTCAACGCATCTCGCACAAGGAAACGAACCTGAGCACTAGTGAAATCAGTCAGTTGGCTTGCTAAACATAAATATAGCCTACCTTAGTTCGCTTCTTTCGACATTCGTTGCAAGCAAGCGATGTCCTACCCTTCTTCACCGGTGCTATTTCTTCAGGTTGATGTATGTGGCCCTCCGGTATCGAGGGTAGAAGTGGGCGCAGAGCGGCATGCTTCAACATGACGAGAGAATTGATATTTAGGAATGATCGGAGAAATTCTAATAAACGTATTTAGGGCACATATTCAATGAACGAGGGTAAGTCTATTTATGTTGACCCTGTAGCGCGCTGGCGATTCCCTTCCTTTGTTTGTTACTGGTATATTCTAGAGGACAAGATAGGAGTGGAAGGACTGATCTTGGCAAGCAAACAAAGAGCCCCTACATATGATGGGCTAATCCTACAAGCCGATTGGATGCTGAAATTTGACTAGCCCGGCTTGTTCTGGACCCTACCCGAAGCTGCATGTGTCCGTCTGTTGATGAGAGTTCCGACTGTTGACCTCGACCGCCGGATAGATGCAGCACGATAGGGCCTGCACGCATTGAGAGCGGCAGGCGTGCTTTGCAGGCGTGAGTACTGTGTTCGCCAAGTTTGTGTCCGCTGTCGCAACTTCCCCTTTCATTGAACACAAATTCTCGTGAAGCGAGGGCATGTCAGGTCAGGACTGGTTTTGCTTCTCTGCTAAGTAATCGAGGTCGGCTACCTCTCCAGGAACAACGATTGCAAGGCTTTAATCAGCGGTACCTATGCTTGGTAATGGGATACCCGTAAAAGCGAGCACCGCTCGTAACAGTCGGTCACCAGTTACGCACGTGATCGGGAAAATGGGACGAGGACGACGCTGATTCCACACGGTAAACGTCCTGACTGCGAGTAGTTCAACGACACATTAATAGCGTGTAAGACGATATCTGCATTAGAAAAAGCAGAGCCGAACGCTAATAGTTGGCTATAGAGCCAGAATGCCTATTCATAAAGTCATTTTTGCTCCTAACCAGTATTTTGCGTTGCCTGCACTGGTTCATTTATGGCATTCTCCTTTACTCTTCCAAGAAGCTCAAGGCCTGATGATTTTCATTTATCAAGTAAACAAAGCAAGTCAAGCAGTTTGAAGTCCCTGGTTTGTCAAGTACTATCGCCAAGACAGTGTGCGGCTACTCCAACTCTAGCCTCCACTAATGCACGCAGATGCCATCACCACTTTTCTGGGCGGTAAATGATTGGCTATTAGCGTACCAAGCAAGCCAATGCAACAATCAGCCTCATGCGCTATTACTGCAAATGTTGTCCCATTATTGATAGCCTAGGAGTGTGCTGCATGTAAGCGCCCACAGCAAACACCCAGCGGCCCCCAAATGTGACCCACAGACCAGAGCCTATGGCTGCAGGATGATCCTAACCTAGGCTTATTTCTATCCTGCCGTAATGGCCGTAATGGGAGACACTGGGAATGAACCCAGCTTATGCCATTATAGGATAGGCGGCTCTGTATAACAAGTGATAAGGATACCTCTTTTAACAGACAGTGATACACGCACCAGTCACGTCCTCCGTCTCTCAGAATCAACTCCAGCTTCGTCTACGGAAGAGAACAGTATTATCCTATCATTCTAGGAGCCTATCTGACAGCCTCGTGCTCTTTCCTCTTCACCATGATATCCCTCAGTGGCCTCGACAGTCCTGACCTCTATACGATCGCCTGGATCGCGGCTCTTCCCATCGAGCGGGCCGCTGCGGTAGCGATGCTCGATGAGGAACATGCAGCTCCAACCGGCTTCAATCGACACCAAAGCGACGCGAACGTTTATACGTGGGGCTGTGTGGGAGAGCATAACGTCGTCGTTGCCTCTCTGGCTGCTGGGGACTACGGAATCACTTCTGCTGCGACAACGACCTCAAGTCTGCTTGCCTCTCTACCATCCATCCGCGTTGGACTTTGTGTGGGCATAGGCGGCGGCATCGCTCGACCGGATGAGGGCCACGATATTCGGCTCGGTGACGTTGTCGTGAGCCAGCCCTGTGGGACCACGGGCGGGGTCTGCCAGTACGACTTATTTAAGGCAAAGTCGGATGATAAGCGTGAGCGCAAAGGCTTCCTCGGACGGCCTCCAACGGTCCTCCTCAATGCGCTTACTAGCATCCAGGCCGATCACGAGCGGAAAGACTCTAAGGTTCCATGCTTCCTTCAAGAGATGCTACAGAAGAACCCGAAGATGGGCAAGAGATCTAAGCAAAATCCTGGCTATGCTCACCAGGGCTTCGAAAACGACCGTCTGTTCATAGCTTCATGCGACCACGTCCTTGGCCCGGACTGTCGGGGCTGTGACCCGGCTGATGAGGTTCAACGCGAACCTCGAGACACTACCGACCCCGATATACACTACGGGACCATTGCATCCGGCAACACACTCGTCAAAGACGCCGCTACGCGCGATCGAATTGTTGCTGAACTTGGCGAGGATTGTATTTGCTTTGAGATGGAAGCGGCCGGCCTGATGAACCACTTTCCGTGTCTTGTGATCCGAGGGATCTGCGACTACGCCGATTCTCACAAGAACGATCGATGGCAACGCTACGCCTCGGCGACCGCCGCTGCGTTTGCCAAGGAGCTTCTGGCGAACGTGCCGGTCGCAGAGGTCCAAGAGACCAAAAGGGCACTAGAAGTGCTTCAGTTAGGTTAGTTATTTGTTTCATCCATTAGCGAGACTAGTAAATGCACGAGATTGAATAATATTCGAACTTGACACACGTCCTAACTGCGAGTAGTTCAACAACATATTGATAGCGTACAGCAAACGACAGTTGCAACGAAAGCTATAATTGATTCCATCAAGTCTGACCTTCGTACCGATAAGATCAGGCGCTGGCTTTGTCCCCCGGATCCGTCTACAAACGCTAACCACGCAAGGACGCTTCGCCATGAAGGAACAGGCGTATGGCTCCTGAGAAGCTACGTCTTCCAGTCGTGGCTCTCGGGGTCGGGTCGACATTTATGGCTACACGGGCTTGTGGGATGCGGAAAGACGGTTCTTTGTGCGACTGTGCTTGATCATCTCGCGAAAGCAAACGACGGTCTTATCCTCAGCTTCTTCTTTGACTTTAGCGACCCCACTAAACAGACCTTAGATGGAATGCTGCGCTCGCTTGCTTTCCAACTTTGCCAAGGCGAAGTTAGCTCTACAACCTATTTTGATGACTTATTCAAAGCACACCGGAATGGCAGCGACCAGCCTACTACAAAGTCGCTCTCAGATTTCGTTCTTCAGATTCTCTTAGTTCAGAAGAGGGTCTCGATCGTTCTAGATGCATTAGACGAATCGAAAACAAGGGGTGATGTTCTTATATGGATCAGGGACGTCGTTTCCAGGCCAGATTTTGTCCATGTCCAGATGATTTATACTAGTCGACCTGAATCCGAGTTTCTGCGCTATATTCCACCTTTGATAGGATTGCAAAATTGCCTAGCCCTTGACAAACAGGCCATTAACTCCGATATTCGATCGTGGGTATCAGCACAACTTTCTCAACGGCCTGATTTTACAGGAATGCCCTTATCCCAGGATCTTCTCAACGGGATCCGGAGGAAGGTTAGCGATAGGGCCGACGGAATGTGAGATACAATTCCTTCGATCGATTTACTAATAATTAACTAATACCCTACTTAGGTTCAGGTGGGCGTTCTGTCAACTAGATAGCCTAGCTCGCTGTTGTCATGAGGCAGCTATAGAGGAGGCTCTCGCATCTTTACCACTGGACCTCAATGAGACATACCGGCGTATGATCGCAAGTATACCGACGGAACTAAGGAATGACGCAATACGTCTACTCCAATTCCTAGTACACTCTAAGCGACCTCTCAAACTAGCCGAGGCTAAAGAAGTTATAGCGACGCAGATCGAAAACGAGTCGCGAGGGTTTTACATCAAGCGTCGATTGTTTCACGAGTCTGATATTTTGAATTACTGTCCTAGCTTAGTGACAGTCGTTCACGGCAACGATAAAGAGTTGCATCTTGCCCACTTTTCCGTCAAAGAGTACCTTCTCGAGCAGAATCATTTCAAACTCCCGACTGCCAGCATTTCTATCACGAGGACATGCTTGACTTATCTCACAGATATCAACGGTAGCTATAGAAATATCAAGCGGGATTTTCCTATGGCAAGATATGCGGCGGAGGTCTGGGTAGGCCATGCTGCGTTGGCTCAGGCTTCGGAAGATATAACTCGAATGACAATCAGCTTCCTAGACGAGGAAACGACATTTCTACGATGGACGCATTTGTACCAGGTCGATAGAGATTGGGACAATAACCCAGGTCCTCCACGAGGTTCCAGGCTCTACTATGCATGCTTCATTGGGCTAGTAGCGCCTACACGGTATCTTATTAGCAATAGAGCGGACATCAATATGCAGGGCGGGAAATACGGTAACGCTCTTCAGGCCGCCTCATCTAGAGGCCACCAAGAGATTGCCAAGTTGCTGTTGGACAACGGAGCAGACGTTAACGCGCAAGGCGGCGAATATAACAACGCTCTTTATGCTGCCTCGTCAGGAGGCTATCAAGAGATTGTTAAACTGCTCTTGGACAGGGGAGCGGACGTCAACGCGCAGAGCGGCGCACACGGCAACGCTCTATATCCCGCCGCAGAGAGAGGCCATCAAGAGATTGTCAAAATACTCTTGGATAGGGGAGCGGACGTTAACGCGCAGGGTGGCCGGTACGGCAACGCTCTATATGCTGCCACAGAGAGAGGCTATCAAGAGATCATCAATCTGCTCTTTCAAAACGGAGTAAACATCAACGCCAATACTCTATATACTGCTATGAAGGAAGGCCGTCATAAGATTATCAAACTACACTTGGATAAGGGAGCGAGCATCAACACGCAGGACCGCGACTACAGCAAAGCCCTACATACCGCCGCAAAGGAAGGCCATCAAGAGATTATCAGAATGCTCTTAGATAACGGAGCGGACGTCAACACGCAGGGCCGTGACTACGGTAACGCTCTGTATGCCGCCGCAGAGAGAGGTCATCAAGAGATTGTGAAATTGCTCCTAGGTAAGGGAGCGGACGTCAACGCACAGGGCGGCGCATACGGTAATGCTCTCCAGGCTGCCTCGTCGAGAGGCTATACAAATATTGTCAAACTCCTCTTAGACAAGGGAGCGGACGTCAACGTGCAGGGTGGCGTACACGGCAGTGCTCTCCAAGCTGCCTCGTCGGGAGGCCATCCAGAGATTGTCAAACTGCTCTTAGACAAGGGAGCGGACGTCAACGCACAGGGCGGCGCATTCGGAAACGCTCTGTATGCCGCCGCAGAGAGAGGCCGTCAAGAGATTGTGAAATTGCTCTTGGATAAGGGAGCAAACGTCAACGCACAGGGTGGCGCATACGGTAATGCTCTCCAGGCTGCCTCGTCGGGGGGCTCTGCGCATTAGCGTCTGCTCCGTTATCTAAGAGGAGTTTGACAATCTCTGGATAGCTGCGACCGCGGAAACGCTTTATATGCCGCCGCAGAGAGGGGCCATCAAAAGATCATCAAATTACTCTTAGATAAGGGAGCAGACGTAAATGCGCAGGGCGGCCGCTACGGTAATGCTTTATATACCGCCGCAAAGGAAGGCCATCAAGAGATTATCAGAATGCTCTTAGGTAACGGAGCGGACGTCAATACGCAGGACCGCTACTATAGCAACGCTCTGTATGCTGCCTCGTTAGAAGGACATCAAGAGATTGTCAAATTGCTCTTGGATAAGGGAGCAGACGTCAACGCACAGGGCGGCGCATACGGTAATACTCTCCAGGCTGCCTCGTCGGGAGGCTATCCAGGGATTGTCAAACTGCTCTTAGACAAGGGAGCGGACGTCAACGTGCAGGGTGGCGTACACGGCAGTGCTCTCCAAGCTGCCTCGTCGGGAGGCCATCCAGAGATTGTCAAACTGCTCTTAGACAAGGGAGCGGACGTCAACGTGCAGGGTGGCGCATACGGCAACGCTCAATCTGCGGCTGTAAAGAGAGGTCATGAAGAGATTGTCAAACTACTTCAAAGAAGGAGTGCTATTACACCTTCTTCAAAGCGGTCCGGCTCAGGGACTCCAAGCAGGCCGACGAAGAAACTTTGTCTCACGGACTCTGAACCTTCTGATCAAACCCAATAATTCGTTCAGCTGCCCCCCGCTGTGGTGTCTAGCTATTGCCTTTCTTTAGGCCTTATTCTCATCACTCTTATCACTTTGCAGTTTCTAGGTGTCGCTAGTTATCCATGACAGTCTGTGAATGATGCTACATCGGGGCAGGGGTTCCTATTTGAATCCCGTATGTAAACAAAGAAAAATTCCTTCATTCATGGCGGCCACTAGGGTCTGGAAGTGGTGTAGATCCGAGGAGATCGCCTCGTTGAGCGGCTCAAAGATTACGACATTCTGGGTCGATGAATTTTTGGTGTTGATAGTAGGGTGGATGTGATCTCTGCGGATAAAGGTCCGGGCCGTTCAGGGTGACCCCACCCTGGGGAAATACAAAGGAAGGGCATTTCGAGTAGCTTGATCAGCGAGGTCTATATTTTCGGTTAAGGTCAATGTAGAGGTTAAATTAGTTTTGCTCATTTCCATCCGCGTGACTCATTCGTTTCTGCACCTCTTCGTTCGTCAGATTCTTCACTGCGTCGTTGGAGAAGAGATAACCAAGACCAGACCAGAAAATTGAAATAGCCACGGTGAATCTATTTTCCGTGGTTAGCACCGATTTGGATCAGTTCACGTCATAAAGCAGTAAAGTGGGAGTGGTAACCTTGAGCGAGTTGGTTTCTATGGTGGATCGTTGAAGCTCATGATTCGGCTTCACAGGAAGCTCCAATCTACTTATATCCTCACCACCCCAAGACATAAGTAGCTCCAGGGAGAGCTGGAAGAGCGGATCCTTGCCATTTTCGGAGGATACAATGTGTCACTGCTTCACTTGACACACCTTTCCGGGGTCGGTCGGTTGTGCCTATTCGAGGGCACTCTAGCCATATTTTGCACAAATTGAAAGGCGCACCAGATGTTCACGACCCACAATATTTTAAAGGAGTGCAATGATATTTCTGCTGACAAAAAACCACAAATCGAATGGAACGGGGTTGTTGGAAGAAGATTTGTGGCTGGGGAGCTGGAATATCAAAAAGAACGACAAAAATCCCGTGACGTCAAGAATGCTTTTCTCCCAACAACCAGAGCAACTGCTACCAAGCCCAGGCCGCTAACAATGGTTAAAATTGGCCGACCACTCATGATGTCCCTGATATAGACCACGAGGTGAGCGATGCGGGGCCGAGTGGCAGGAGACGGAGAGGGTAGAGCGACGACATTTAATGCTTGTAGAAGACTGTGAGCGCTGCGGAATTTTCCATCCCAGCAACCTTCAATGACCCCACCAAGCCAGATATCTTCTGTAATTGGAAGAGACTTTCTTTCCGGCCAATAAGCTCGTCCATCGGTTAGAGAATTATCTTTGAAGAGGTCGACTTCGCACTTATTGCCCGTCACAATCTCATACATGACCGCTCCAAGGAGGCCAATATCGATTTGGGTTGTGAATCCGTTATCATCCACGGCATCCATATTTGAGTCCAACGGAAAGAGAGAGGCTTCTGAAAAATCGCAGAGTTTGAGGGATAAATCCGAATCCAGGAGAAAATTTCGGCTGGCGATGTCTGCGACAAGCACGCGCCTGTCATGGATATAACTAAGTGTGCGAGCCATCTCGCGAAACCATGTGAGTTGGAGCTGGTATGAAGGGCGGCGCTCTGCCAGATAGGTACGAAGGTCCCCGTTGACCATATAAGCAAGCTGTGTAGCTTCGGCCGAAAACCCAATACAACGGACAACACCGTCTGAACGTTCATCTTCAGGGCATTGCAAGCGACTATATATAGATTGCTCGCGTCTTAGGCTTTCGGTGTTCGCTCTGACATCAAAATCTGAGCTCCAAAGATATCGTAACGGTGTTTTGACAGCAACGTTATTTTGAAGCAAAACCACTGCAGAGGCTCCGCTTCCGAGAACCTGCTCCGGAGGAATAGGATCGCCTTGGATATTCAGAAAGGGCGAAGACATAGTGGAAGGAACGAACGGTACTGGATCACATTGATCAAGAATTAAGGGGTTGGCTTTGGTACGGGTTCTTTAATTACATTTTCAATCACGTGATCCGGTTACATCACGCTGCCCCTTCTTTTGTGACAAACTCATCCTCCAGCCTATAATCACGATTAAGGGTCAGACCTTACGATGCGCTGGGCAGTCTTGGCCGCGCTTGGTGGAACTCGCTTGCGATGTTGGAGTTACAGGATCACAAATGCTGCCCCTCTCCTCTGCCGGCTTGCACCATTGAATATGATCACTGGTGGGATCGAACTGGGTACAGTCCCCTCCGCTCTTTCCCTTGCAATCTGGAAATCTGGCGGGAGTCTTCCATCTCTGCCAGCACATCTCGCTATTTCATCGTCAGTTTATTCTCAATAATATGATATACGATGGTAGTACCAAGTTTGATTGATGCTTCGATTCTGTGAAAGGTTGGATGACTTCGGTCAATGGATCTTTTGACAAGACTTGACTGCCTTTAAATACCCTACGGTAGGTGCCTGGAATTTGAAGAATTATGGGTAAGAGGTCGAGACGGCCAAAGCTTTTGGAAAATAGTATCCCCGATGGTGCAGGCAAGGGTCCAGGGATTAGATGAATCGTACGAGGTTTAGTCTGCGCAAATCAAGCCACTAGAGGGCGGAGAGCCGATATTTTAGGACTTGTTGTAAGGATAAAGAAAAGCCGCCCTGTCCTTGACTTGGTTAGATGGAGCATATGCGAACGCAGGTCTGGTTCCGTCATCTAGTAGATACGTATTTAAATGTAGAACAAAGCAGGGTTTGCAATAGTGATTGGATTGTACCGGGGTATGATCTTGGCGCAACGCTAGAGCATCATCATTCGTTGCAAACGAAGTCGGCTAGAGAACGATTGGCTAGCTCAAGATGTCTATAATTGGAGACCACATTAGTATGAGGAGGGGGTAGCTCATGACCCGCTAACAGCTCATTGAATTGGTATAATCCAGTGTATCAAGTGAGTGAGCTGAACCCCACCTGAGGTTTATGTAACTAATCTTAACTTTGTTCAGGTAATTTCTGGCCGATCAGGATGAGCGGACTAGGCCATGGTAGCATCTGATTGACAATCTGGAGCTGTTGTAGCAGTTTTATTCGTCAATATTTGAACTGTAGGCATGAGGAATATATCCTGTGAGCGACAGACTTTTGCTTATTTTAATGTTAACTGTAATAATGTTCGCTTTCCAGTTCATAAGGTCATTATTTGCTCTCAGTTCCGAGGGTTCTACGCTGACTCTACCGGATCTTTTCACGATATTCTCCTTTGCCTACCCTGAAACTCCGAGCCTGGTAGCTTTCATATATTAAAAGAAGGAAACAACCACAGGTAGGTTTGGGATCATCGTTTGGACAAATACCATCGCCATTTTGGACGGCGGTAAATGGTTGGCCAACAGTGTACTAAGCAGGCCGATGCTACGACTTAGCCTCAAACACTATCATAGCCCATGATACCTATTATTGGTTGACATAGGAGGGCTTTGCATGCGCCCACATCTCACGGCCCCCAAAAGTGCGAGTCTTATTGGCGAGAACTTGCTCCTGGACAGCAGAGCGCACGCCGAAGCGGATGGCGGTTACTTCGGCAGCTCTCAGACAGTGATACTGGCCTAAGTTTACAGCCTTCGCGGTTAAAGTGGAGTTGCGAGTTCGCGATTGTGGACAGCAACCCTTGAACATCTGTTCTTGAAAGCGTGACCGTGAGATGCTATAAAAAGTTACTTAAAAGGCCACTGGTAGGAGTACACTCGAATGGGGCGACAGCCAGCTTTAACTCCACAGCCGAGGTTGCACAGCCCCATGCTGACAAAGCGCCTTAGGTGGACCATGCTTGATCTAAATTCTCATCCTGGCACCCTTTATTGCTTTCTCTTGCCTACAACTGCAGGAAGGGGGTTACTCGCGGCATGTCATCACGAGCCTCACACCGTCAAAAAGTGGCCATCATTGGCTCTGGAATGGCCGGCCTTGTTACCGCGCACCTGGATCGAACGTGGGTGCCTGAATTCCGCCAAGCTCGTCACGCCTATTACTTTCAGCCTCCAACACCTTTCTTTTCTTCCTTCCGCTATGTAGCGTAGTGATCGGCCTTCTGATCGTACAAATTAATACATCTCGGTCTAAATCAAGTAAGGGGTATCGATTTCTATAGTCGGAATGCAATACATTTTAATTTCTAGAAGGGAAGAAGGGCTGTTAATGAATAACTTTAGGGGGCCAAACTACCGATGTTGAGTCATGTGATATCGTGGTTGAACAGCCTTGGGTAGAGACAGTGACGGAAAGGGGGGGAAACGATGGTATTTGGACTAGTGGATACTGGTATGGCTAAATACACTGGCGGACCGGAACAGCTTTGCTCCGACAGACAGGATGGTAGGTCAGGTGATTTTCTAATAAGAAGAAGGGAGATGGAGATGGGGATTGGCTGAACAAACACCCGATGAACATTGAACACTTCAAAGTCGAGAATCCATGACCAACCAGGCTGAGAGCATTGATCCCTTCCATGGATCGGGCATTCTACGGCGGTGGGTGTCAGGGAGAATAAAAGAGGCAGCCAATTTAATTCTCATTTAAATGGTGAAGTGCGTTACGTCGGCGCTGCTACAACCTCTTTAAATGGAAAAAGCGCGGGCGTAAAACGGAGGATCAGGGAACACATGCGGCACGCGAAGTCCGATTCACGAAAGGTGCAAAGTGGTAAACCTTATTGTAATGAAATGAGAAAAGAAGGCCACGTTGTAATTTTATCGTTCTAGTACGATTCGCTGAACAGGTGGATAAGGCACTGGTTCACATTGCCGAAGCAGTCATGACCATTCTTTTTGCATCATGGACCAGCCAGACCTTCGTCGCGATTCGCCCCGATGGCCTTCAGAAGAACCCATTCGGGGGTTTGAATATAAATCCTTTGGATTATGGTGTTTCAAGTTGGGTGGCTCCAGAAGGACGCTAGGTAAGGTAAGAAAATGGGCGAAAAGCAGCTCTGAAGCGAAGGGAGGCGAACATTAAAAAAGCTAGAGAAGGTGGCCTCTTCCGCATGACAGCAAAGCAGATTACTTTGTCGTATTAGGATTTCAAGTTCCAGCTTTGTGGTGAGACCATCAAGATCCCTTCGAGCATAGGGCTGTCTACGGGGCTCCATCAGAAGGAGCGGCAAATTGAAGTTCACTGCGTTGTGAGCCCAGACTGGCATATATCGCCATATATAACGAAAGCGAAGTGGGGATCTAAGGAGGGAAGACTTGCTCTTCGTTTTGTTGGCCGTCATTACGGTGGTTTTCCGAAGGGAAACATACAAATTTCCACTTGTTGGCGAGGCTACACGCGGATGGGAGCATATTTTCGTTTATTCCTTCCTATTCAGGCATAAATATTCTCCTACCAGTGCACGCTGCAATCAAACCGCGATCTATGGTATCAAATGAAGTGCCCTAGAAAAAAGCCAATTTCCGTTCAAAGAAGGAAGATCGTGTTTGGAGAGGAAAATTACAATGAGGAGGATTTGGGCGGTTGGCCTTTTTCTTTATTGTATACACGGATCGCATTCTATTGGCAGGCACCCGTATATTAAATTCCGCCGTAACCTGCTCATGGGTCAAGCGAGGGTATTCACGGAGCAATTTAGAAAGAAGTGCATCATCCGAGGGTGTCCAAAGGCGACGCGATTTGTTCCACTGGGAAGTAGATGTTGAGATGAGCAGTACAGAAGGGAAGCTATAGGCTGCACTGTTCTCTGTACCCTCAAAGGGGGAATGTGTCAACGGAGTGGGCGGGGCCCGCGGGAAAAAGGATGCACCGAGGGTTGAGCGAATTGATGGTAGTGTTTGGTGGTTACTGCAGTCTGCATCTAGGGCCACAATATCCTGGTAAGAAAATGGCGGCAATTGAACGTATGAAGGGGTGGGCATGGAACTGCGCTGATTGGTAATTCCATTAGAATAGCGGTCAAATAGCTGATCTGGAGGAGCTGCGATGAACGTTTTGCGGTCTGGGGGTCGTAGAGGTAGAGGAAGAGACACTGATTGAAGCTGGCAGTCGCTTCGAAGTATCGGACTGTTGCCGCAATCTGGTTACAGGTCGTTGATGGGCATCGGACGCGGGTCTTTGTCTGCCATATTACTCCAATCTGGGATCAACAGAAAGTTGAAAGAGCGTTAGAAATTATGGAACAAGACCATTAGAGAGACTTGATCGTGGAATTTGACATGAAAATGATCTTTACTGACCGCCCCAAGAGTATCTCCGTCCAGCGAGAAACTGCCGGTAAGCGCAGGGATCGTGCAGAGGAGCGCTACACACTGTAGGCGTTGACACAAGTGCCAGTGGTTGGTGTTGGAACCTAGCAAGGTAGTGGGATCCTCAAAATCAGGTTATGCCACATATATACCTAATGTCCGCCAAGGTTGGTCACCAATCGACCGAGTTCACACTGCAGATTGGACAAGCACCTGCAGGCTCATGACAGGGAGCCAGTTTCTTGGCATTGATCACCCCCAATCATGTCGTCTAGCCAGCTGCATATAAGCGCCCACAGTTCATGGCCCCCAACCTGTGAGTGAGTGTAACTGGAGAGAGCCTATTATGGGGAGCTGACCCCGACCCTGTCCTTTTCATCTTTCCTACGTCCATCTACAGGGTAGGGTGGGGCAATAAATACCAACCTAGCTAGATAGACGGGAGCGTCTTTGAACTGACGCTGATAAACATCGTGCTGTAGTCATATCTCCACTGTCTCCCGTTCTGGCTCAACTCCAGCTTCCTCGTCGACAGGGCGAACCGCACATTCCTATCTTTACATCGGCCTATCTGACAGGCTTGTACGCTACCCTGCCCACCATGGCATCCTCCAATGCCCTCAGCAGCCCCGACTCCTACACGATCGCCTGGATCGCCGCTCTTCCTATTGAGCGGGCCGCTGCAGAAGCGATGCTTGATGAGGAATATGTTGCTCCCACCGGCTTCACTCGCCACCAAACGGACGCGAACGTTTACACGTGGGGTCGCATAGGAGAGCACAACATCGTGATTGCCTCTTTGGCTGCCGGAGACTATGGAACAACCTCAGCTGCGACCACGGCCTCGAACCTGCTTGCCTCACTGCCATCGATCCGTGTTGGTCTTTTCGTGGGCATAGGCGGCGGCATCGCTCGACCGGACGAGGGGTACGATATCCGGCTAGGTGACGTTGTCGTGAGCCAGCCCAGTGGGACCACGGGCGGCGTCTGCCAGTACGACTTGTTCAAAGCAAAATCCGGTGACAAACGTGAGCGCGAAGGCTTTCTCGGACGGCCTCCGAGGGTCCTTCTCAATGCGCTTACTGGTATCCGGGCCTATCATGTGCGGAAAGACTCTTAAGGTCGTTTGCTTCCTTCAAGAGATGCTGGAGAAGAACCCGAAGATGGGCAAGAGGTCCAGACAGAATCCTGGATACATTCACCAAGGCTTCGACAACGACCGCCTGTTCAAATCTTCATGCGACCACGTCCCCGGCCCAGACTGTCGGGGCTGTGACACGGCCAATGAGGTTCAACGCGATCCTCGAGACACTATCGACCCCGAAATCCACTACTGGACCATCGCATCCGGCAACACACTTGTCAAAGATGCCGCTGCGCGCGATCGGATTGTTGCTGAACTTGGCGAGGATTGCATCTGCTTTGAGATGGAAGCGGCCGGCCTAATGAACCACTTTCCCTGTCTTGTCATTAGAGGGATCTGTGACTACGCCGATTCTCACAAGAACGATCGATGGCAACGCTACGCCTCAGCGACTGCCGCGGCGTATGCTAAGGAGCTTCTGGCATACGTGCCGGCCGCAGAGGTTCAAGAGACCAAGAGGGCACTGGAAGTACTTCAATCGGGTTAGTTCTTGTTTCATCTATTAGCCAAACTAGTAAATACACGAGACTAAATAATATTCGAACTTGGTACACGTCCTAACTGCGAGTAGTTCAACAACAGATCGATAGCGTACGGCAGACGACAGTTGCAACGAAAGCGGTAACTGATTCTATTAGGTCTGACCTTCGTACCGATAAGATCAGGCGCTGGCTTTGTCCCCCGGATGCGTCTATAAACGCCAATCACGCGAGGACGCTTCGACATGAGGGGACAGGCGCGTGGCTCCTAAAAAACCCCGTCTTCCAGTCGTGGCACTCGGGGTCACGTCGGCATTTATGGCTCCACGGGCTCGCGGGATGTGGAAAGACAGTTCTCAGTGCGACTGTGCTTGATCATCTCACGAAGCGAAACGACGGGCTTATCCTTAGCTTCTTCGTTGACTTTAGCGACACCACAAAACAGACCTTAGATGGAATGCTGCGCTCGCTTGCTTTCCAACTTTATCAAGGCGAGTTTAGCTCTGCACCTCATCTTAATGCTTTGTTTCAAGCATATCAGAATGGCAGCGACCAACCTGCGAGAGAGGCGGTCTCGGATATTGTTTTCAAGATGCTCTTGGTCCAAAGGCAGGTCTTAATCGTCCTGGACGCATTAGATGAGTCGAAAACAAGGGATGAGGTTCTCCTGTGGATCAAGGATGTGGTAGCCAGGCCGGATCTGGCTCATGTCCAGCTGCTTTATACCAGTCGACCTGAATCCGAGTTTCTGCGCTACATTCCCCATTTGATAGGAAAGCAAAACTGCCTACCACTTGATAAGCAGGCTATCAACTCCGATATCCGATCTTGGGTCACAACGCAACTTTCTCAACGGCGCGATTTTACAGAGAAGCCCTTGTCCCAAGATCTTCTGGAGAGAATCCGGAGGAAGGTTAGCGATGGGGCTGACGGGATGTGAGATAGTACCATTTCGATCGATATGCTGATGGTCTGCTAATACCCTAATTAGGTTCAGTTGGGCTTTCTGTCAATTAGATAGCCTGGCTCGATGTCGCCACGAGGCAGCTATAGAGGAGGCTCTCGTATCTTTGCCGCTAAACCTAAATGAGACATACCGGCGCATAATTGCAAGTATACCGACGGAGCTAAAGAACGACGCGACACGCCTCCTACAATTCCTAGTGCATTCCAAGCGACCTCTCAAGCTATCCGAGGCTAAAGAATTAATAGCAACGCAGATCGAGAACGATTCACAAGGGTTTGACGTCAAACGTCGATTGTTTTGCGAGACTGATATTTTGGATTACTGTCCTAGCTTAGTGACAGTTGTTCACACTTCCGAAAAAGAGTTACACCTTGCCCATTTTTCTGTCAAGGAGTACCTTCTCGAAGAGCATCATTTTAAGATTATGACTGCGAGCATTGCTACAGTATCACAAGGACGTGCTTGACTTATCTTACGGACATCAACGGTAGTCCCGGAGAGATCAAGCGGGAATTTCCGATGGCAAGATTCGCGGCTGAAATCTAGGCAAGCCATGCTGCGTTGGCTCAGGATTCTGAAGATGTAGTTCGAGTGACAGTCAGATTCCTGGAAAATGAAGAGACGTTCCAACGATGGGCTCGTTTGTACCAAGCTGATAAAAGCTGGGACGCTGACCCTGGTCCCCCTCAAGGCTCCAGGGCTCTACTATATCTGCTTCGGTGGGCTCATAGCGCCAGCACGAGATTTTATTGGCAAGGGGGCGTACGTTAATACGCAAGGCGGCAGATACGGTAACGCTCTCCAGGCCGCCTCAGAGCGTGGCCATCACGAGATTGTCAAACTACTCTTAGACAAAGGAGCGGACGTGAACGCGCAAGGCGGCGAATACGGCAATGCTCTCCAGGCCGCCTCAGAGCGTGGCCATCATGAGATTGTCAAACTACTCTTGAACATGGGATCGGATATCAACGCACAAGGTGGCTACTATGGTAACGCTCTCCAGGCCGCCTCAGAGAGTGGCCATCAAGAGATTGTCAAACTACTCTTGAACATGGGATCGGATATCAACGCAGAAGGTGGCTACTATGGTACCGCTCTCAAGGCCGCCTCGTTTGGAGGCCATCAAGCGACTGTCAAACTACTCTTAGACAAGGGGGCGTACGTTAATACGCAAGGTGGCGAATACGGCAATGCTCTCCAGGCCGCCTCAGAGTGTGGCCATCATGAGATTGTCAAACTGCTTTTAGGCAACGCAGCGAATGTCAACGCGCAGGGCGGCAAATACGGCAACGCTCTCCAGGCTGCCTCAAAGAGCGGCTACCACGAGAATGTCAGATTGCTTTTAGAAAAGGGAGCGGACATCAACGCGCAGGGCGGCGAATACGGCAATGCTCTCCAGGCCGCCTCAGAGTGTGGCCATCAAATGATTGTCAAACTACTCTTAGAGAAGGGAGCTGACACTAACGCGCAGGGTGGCCGTTATAGTAGCGCTCTCCAGGCCGCTTCGAAAGGAGGCCATCAAGAGATTGTCAAACTGCTCCTGGATAATGGAGCTGACGTCAATGCGCAGGGCGGCCGCTGCGGCAACGCTTGGTATGCAGCCTCATTGGGAGGGTATCACGAGATTGTGAGACTACTCCATAGAAGGCTCGCTTTTACATTGTCTTCAAAGCGGTCCGTCTCTAGGACTGCAAGAACCCTGGCAGAGAAACGTCGCCCTATGGGCTCTGAGCCTTCTAATCAAACTTGATAATATGTTTGGTAGCTTTCACTACTCTTTTTTATTACTTCGCAGATTGTTGGTGTGGCTAGTTAAATTATGATAATCTCGGACTACTACGTCTGCGCAACGGCCTATTAATTCATATTGCATTGGAATCCATATGTACACAGAAAAATACTGTAGCTGGGATCCACAACCAAGCCGGGACTTGCTATCGCTCTCTCCCTGTGCGATCGTTAAATGTGGTCGTTAAGACTGTGAGTCCACCTATGAATGGGTAAAATAGTTGTATAGGATGGATTTGGTCATACGTTATCGTTCAAAAAAACGGTTAAGCGATAATGAACACGCTTTTTGATTAGTTACGCACACATGTAGCCCCAAACAAGGGGAGACTAGCAGCCAGCAAACGTATCCATACAGAGGCTAGATAAGCACCCAACAAATAGAGGCGTTTCATGAAGTTTCTCTAGTGGGACCCTCCTAGGAACACACGTCCGAGATCGCGTCTATTCAATCTGTGGACCTTGCTAGATCGCTCATGAAGCCGTCCATTTCTGAAGCTTTGCGTTTTTCCTTCTCTTTCAAACCTCCGAGCACTGGGTCGTATGGTGTAGTTTTCATCCACGCTGACCATTTTTTAATCACCGCAAATGCAGCTGTAGCAGAGATCTGGAACCATTCTCGATGTTCACTCAAACACCCCGTACAATCAACATGGACTTGATAATCAACTAATTCCGCATGGCATAATTCCTCAACGCGCCAGGCATTTGGAACCAAAATCGCAGATTCAGGGGGTGTGGGGAATAGCACCTTCATTTCCCTGTTACAGTCAAAAATCAACGATTGAAGGCGCTTGATCACAGGATCAACTGTATATCCTATCTTAACATAACTCGGGATATTCTCAGCTTGAAAAACATAGATATATCCAGGTTTTCGATGTTGGGCACTCAATTTTCGACAAAGTATTCCATGAACATAGTCGTTCAGGGTATTTGTGCTGCGTCTATTCCTCCTTGGAATGATGTGAAAGGGAGTAGCGTCAAACTCCTCTAGCAAAACTGAGGTCGAATCTCTCGAAATTCCTAATGAGGGTGGAACTTTCAAGCTCAATATTTGTTGATCCCTCGAATAAAAACCGTCGTAAGGCTCACTGGATCCCATACACAACGATTTGCATTCAGATTCCTGAGGTATCTCATACCGAGTTGATTCTCCTATACCGAAGTCGGCGCTTGAGCGAATTTCCAGGATTTTGGACTTCCAATAATCCCGTTTTCGAGGCGGCATTGTAAGCTCGTGGTCTGCGCAGTACACGTTTGTTTCCAAAATGCCAAGATAATCGTCGATTTCTGAGTCTCTGAGGTACATACTGAGCCTCATGATTTCGTCAACCGTTCTCTGGAAATTTTGAACTTTTCGGCCGCCGATTTTGTTTCGACATAAATTTGACACTGTTTTTGCGCCGCATTTAGTTGAAGCAGACCCAAGTAATTCCGTGACCTGCACTTCAACATAACGCACGTCACTATCCTGCGCTGGAAAGGCAGCCATCCATTTCGTCTTTCGGGCATCCTGTGGATCTTTGCGTCGGTGGAAATAACAATTCGCAAGCGCGGTAAGCTTTTCTATCTTCGAGATCAATTCTGGCGATTCCTGGCTGAGAAAAATCATAGACGTAATCAAAGTTTCAATTTGGACTCTATTCTTTTCCGGTATCCCTTTAGAACACGCTGTTTTTTCTCTTGTGCAGCGCCCACACTTCCAATCCCTAAGACCAAGGCGAGTTCTCAAGGTACACACTTTGACAGGGAGTCGGCATTTTTGAGGCTGTTTCTCTCGACCATTTGACTTGTGCAGATCTCTGTCAGCATTGTTCGGGGCAGGACGGTGCACCAGTGAAAAGCTGGTTGATGTACAGTAACGGCCATTCGAGGAACTGGGGCAAGCTGGAGACATTCTGATTTGTTGTTCGCATCGCTCGTCGGGGCGGCCGGATACGCACCCCCAGGTATAGTCAAGGGAATGGGAAGTTTTCAACCCTGTTGGATGTCACAATCTCCTTACTGATAGAAACTGAAAAAGCGTAAAGGGATACACTAGATCATGAACTTAAATAGGCAAGTATGCAACATGTAGAGCTTCCAAGAATATTGATGCCTGAAGTAGCTGCCTAACATAGGGCAACCAATCAACATAAGCAACCCACGCCACGGATATCTGGTACTGCGGTGGTTACCGTGCATGGCACCTCGTGGAAGCCGTGGCACACATATAATCAGTTGAGGGCTCAAGAGTGTGGATCCTTTTCCCTTTAATAGAGCCCGAGGCACTTCGCAATGTTGGTCTATCTGGGGGAATCCGAAGGGGTTCCAGTTCAATTTACTGGTAATTGACCAACTACCCTGGCTTCGGTCGTGGGAGAGCACATCAACTCTAGTTGTTGCCGTGGGACCAGGCAGGCCATTCATTTCTGCATTCAGTTAAGATCTTCACTGCGACCTTGGAAAAGAGATACCAAGACCAGACCAGAGGGTTGTAATAGCCTCGGTGAATCTATTTTCCGCCGTCAGTAAAAGGAAAATAAGAGAGAGGGAAAGTTTAGCCGAGGAGCCACGTCAGCGCTTCAGGGGCCTTCAGGGCGATCGGGTGAAGAATAGAGGGCCTTCAGGGCCTTCAGGTGAAGGGCCCTGAAGGGGCTGAAGGGTAAAGCGGTAAGGGCCGATGTCCCGACGAATGGCAAAAAGCGGGTGAACACGGACATACAACAGCCAGGGTTCGCATGTGGTCACCCACCATACTACTAACTGGCCGGCGTGTGGCTTATCTCCAGCAGATAGTCGGGTGGCTGCCGCCCGGGTGAGAAGTGGGTGAGCGCCGCTTTACGGTCGCGCGACCAGGGTGAGAGAGGGTGAGTGCGCAATAGACAGGGTGAGAAGCTGGGTGAGAGCAGGTGATTCTCACCCTCGGTCGCGCGATCACCGTACTGACCCTCCCTTCCCTGCGCTCAGATGCAGCGTTATTGGTTTCCCTCGACGTGGCTGAAACAGGTTTCTTGGCACTTGCATATACCGTAAAATTCTCGCCTGCGATTGGCCAAAAGAACGGCGAGGCTGACTTCAACGTCGCCTTGGGCAGTGTAGTTTGCTTGATGTCTCGGCCACGCTAACATGACCTGTATAATAATCAACATCTGTACGGCGTAACTAAATTCCGCAAGTTCTAAGTCCACATCACGTGGTAACACCTGTGTTTCGACCTGCTTGTGAGCAATAGTTCGTTACCCCACCGGGGAATATGTTCTTATACCTCCTCTCACACAGCATAATCCATCAACTTCCTTGACGAGGAATTTGTTACATAAAATGCCAATACCCTTCTGCGCTCCTTTTGACCCTTGTAAATTTGATCAAGGTTGAGACCGTTGTCTAGCATCTCGTAATATACATGTTAGATTGCTGATTGGAGCGTGTCGTTTTCAACATCAACATCTGATTCAATTTGTGCGAGGGCCAGAATAGGTAATTACCTCCATATAGCGCTCCCATTAGCTTATATCGGACAAATCCCCCCCCCCCCCGCCCCCGCCTGTTGGAATCTTTATTTACTTCCCACTATATCCGGCTTCCGGCAGTCCGATCTGGTAGTGCTTTAGGCACGACCATACAACCCACATCCCAAAGGCATGCGGTGCAAAATTATGTGACCCCGCCGGACACTTGGAAAAAAAGGATACGCCTACCCTAGCATGGGGTCTAATATTGCCTGATACGAGCTGACGCAATGCGGCAAGTCGGGTAGCCCAGTCCCTCCTCGACTGTAGCAGCGAGCATCCTACAGGTGATTGATAATGTCGTAACCTCACGATCACACGTCCCTTTTAATGTTTATTCAAGGATTCGGGTGTCTACTTCTATTGAATAACAATCTTTTTCTGCGAGGAGTTTTAGACGGTAGTAATAATTTGTCCTCGCACAGGCTCCCCAATCTGGGCTGGGGCCTCGGTGGAGGCTGCGGTAGCTTACTCAAACTTTAACGACACAGTAACTAGGTGCGACAGCAATATATGTCATTTAGTATTGTCAGTAGGACGAGTAACAAGTCATCATTGCGTTATTGTTGCATTTCTGTAGATAATCTTTTGGGTAGCTCGGGAGCCTTTGCATTAGCAGGGTGGCATAAGGAAGTCTAAGTTAACTTAACACAGAAAACTATACCTGAGCGGGTTAAGAACCTACCAAGAAAAGAAGCCCAACATATGATGTGAAACGCATAAGCTATTATCAGAAAACCTACTTTTGCAAAACAAGTGTTTTTCGTGAGTCACCGACTGGACAATTAGGTCTCACACTCACTATTTGCATTCACCATATGCCCCTCAGCTTTGATACTGTGGCTTGAACATAGTATAAGGGTCTTACTAGAGGTTCCATCTCTATTGGCACAATATCTTAAAGTTGGTTCTATCCTGTGGAGATTTTGCATCTGCATCCCACTTCAGTCAGTACTGTATCTTGTGATCATTCCTGTAGGAGAAATTCATCAGTTACACTCTATCCATATCATATCCGAGCTAGAACTGCATCTTTCAGCAATCTTTCTAGACGCGTAGAGAGACGCTAGACTCAACGCGACAGACAAGCTTGCTCACCTCATGGAACTAATTATCAAATTACATCCCTTGTCGCTCAAAGCTTCTTCTGATTTTCCAAGGATCATATGTATTGTGTACGACGATCTCAAAAGAGCCTCGGAGTATACAGAACAACCTCAGATGTTACCACCGCCTTAATTTAAATCCTAGACTAAGACATGTAGAAGAATGAAATCTGATTCTCTAGATTCTATCTCGATCAGCAGTTTCAACATGAAACTTGATCAGAATAGGGATACCTCTGTCTAATAGAAGGTCCAAATTGGTAAAGCATCACTGTTAGGATGCCTAGTCCCACTGCTAGAAAAGCAAGAAGCGAATTCCCCCAGCCCACACCTAGCTGTGCATACATTGAGTTTCCTGCCAG